ACTTTTTTGTCTTTTTAAGATTAAAATCAGCATTTATTTTATTTACAGTTGGCACTGAGCATTTTAATGGTTATACAACTATTCTAAGATTTTCTTTTAACATTAAAGTTCTTTACCTTTGCAAAATTTCGTTTATTCCTTGGATATGCTTTTATAACAATTTTTAAATTTGAAGCCAATTTTTGACGTTTTTTTCCTTTTATGTTTAGAATATTGCCTATTGTATCTTTAGATATCGAAAAACCATGGCTTTCACAGCATTTTTTAATAACTAGATAGAAATCATTTTCTTCGCAAAGAGCATAAACATAACCTTACATCTATTGCTTCTTTAAAAGCACCATGTTACATGAAAACAAAACTGACAAGCAGTAAACGTTAATTCATACTTTCAAAAATATAGTTGCAGTCAAAAAAAAAAATTCCAATCAGACCCCCCCCCCTTTTTTTTTTTTTTTTCTTTTACCAAAGCAAAATCATCTAAAATGTGTGCTAACAGCCTCTTCAAAATTCCAATTGAAATATCAGTCAGCTTTTTGCATCTGTATGAACTGCATTAAATTACCTTACTTTAATACTGTTTTGTATCAGTGCAACAACAATGCTAAAAGAATTTAAAGTGCCTTTCTTTCAGTTAGTAAAGCACAATGTCCCAATCTTAAATTTCAGACTTTTCTTTAGCAACCAAAAGTTGTAAACTGATATTAAGAAAATTATATACATTGTGTTTCCCATTTATTTATTTATATCAGGTCAACTCAAAATTACTATTAGTGATAAAGTGATATTTTAGTACATTAGTTAATGACCAATTTGCAAACTGTTGTACTTATTGTTAATTACACATTCTTCTTTTAAATTTTTTCACTTTTGAATGATTGTGTTTTTCTCCCTTTCTAATTAATGTGCTGCATGAAACTGTTTTCTCATTATTTTAAATGTTTGAGTTTACTTATTTTCATAATTATTTTACACTGCAAAATAACATAAGATATTATGGATATTGTACTCTAATGTGGATTTTCTAATACATGAGTTCTTTAAGAAATGTTTACATGTTATTTAAGAGGCAAGCCACAAAGTCAAGATAAACAATTACAATATTCAATAAAAGGTTCCCATTACAGCTATACCATGGTGCTATGATGAACATAAACAATAAAGCACAAAATAACATATCAATTTGAGTTTTTTAATTTATTTTTCAATCATTCTAAGTTAATTAGCTAACAAAGAAGAAGCCATATGAAATATAGTTCCAACTTTTGTGAGTTATTGCGTTAATTGAAGATTTACACAGGAATTTTTTGTATCATTAAAAAAGGCTGCCACTGAAAAACTATATAAATGAATTATTTAATTTTATATATTAATTATAACTATATACATGCTTTATGTACATCCATTTTATAAAATCTGAAACACTAGTATAGCATACAATGGTACATATATACTCAGAATCTGTTGAAAGAGCAAAAGCACTTAACTAATTAAATACATAAATAGATTAAAAAATGACAAACATAACAAATAAAATATGAAACTACAAATGACTTTATTTATACTTTTAACATAAAAAATAAAAATATAGGAAATAAAAGGTTCATAGAACTTTTGGGATATAAACTTCATGTACATAAAATTTTAATACATATAACTGAAAAGTTTTAATAATGAGTTCTCATAAATACATCTTACAATGCTTAAAAAAATATTTAGTTTTCAAATACAGGGATTTTATTATAAATATACATAAATACTCATTTCTTTATCATAGAGAAAAAAGCTCATATTTAATTAACAAACTCTTTATATATATAATAAAACATTGAATAACTTAATAGCAGTCAGTTGCTATTTTTCCAATGTCCAAACTAGTTAAAATAACATTTTCGGTAACATTTAAAAAAATTAAAGTAGTAAATTGGTTTTGTATATGTATCTAGTGAATAAAACTGAAATAAAAGCAGATATATGTCAATAAAAAATTATACATCAGTATACACTTTAAAAGATTTTTATTAGAAATTTCATGCTTTCAAAATCATTATATTTTTAAATAATCTAATTTACACAAGAACAATATTTTTCATTGCAATAGGATGATTTACTTTAACCTAAAATTGTAATTATATTACACCAAATATTTTTTCCCTTTTCCCTCTTCGTTTTTACTTTTTTGGGGAAGGGGGGGGTTGTTCAATCAAATTCCTGAAGTAAGATTCATTTTTTCCAAAAATAAAATTGTTACTCAAAAGTTAATGAAACATATACTTAGTGAAACTTCTTACAATATTTTTGTATGTTTATTAGCATGTTTTAAAACAGAATATATCATTTAATATATATGCCTACTTGAAGCAAAGCAAACCAGACCACTGAATACTGGTAGCTTAATCCAAGTTTGTTCAAATCCCAAAGAATGGACAAGCTACATTGGTCGTTTGCATGGATTTTTTCTATTTGTAACATGACTAAGTTTTCCTTAGACAGTCTTCCTCTCATATGCTTTGCCATAATCGGCTAAACAAATATTCATTCTTCTGTCCTTAACAGCTCTCATTTATTAAGCTGTATAAAAACTAACCATGACGCAGTCCATCTAATACTATATTAAATTCATTAATATAAAAAAAAGATGTTTAAAAGTATTTCTCAGATGAGTGAATTCATTGTAAAAAACAAAGCAACAATTATTATTAGCTGCAAATTTATATTTGATAGAATAATTTTAATACATATTTCAGTAATAACTGCTTTGCAATCTAAGTAGCCAGTAATTTTTACTTTAACAGATTTATATTTTGAAAGTTAAAAATTTAAAAATTTTACGAGGGGGGGGGGGGGGGGGGGGGGGGGGGGGGGGTGGGGGGGGGGGGGGGGGGGGGGGGGGGGGGGGGGGGTTGAGAGTTATCTTAAAAGGATTTTTTTTTTTCATTCTGTTTAATGCACTTACTAACTGAATCCACACATTACAGTACAAAGTTTGAAATCAGGACGTCCATTATTCGGAATAATCTAAAATCCGGACCTCAAAGCCACAGTTTTTTTTTTTTTTTTTTTTTTTTTTTGTATGCTTTACGCATGCACATTTGATTTTTCCTTCCATAATAAAATGTGGAGATTTTCACTTCTGCTTGGCATACATCTCAAACCAAAACATTCACCTATTTTATATCCCTGATGCCAACCTGGTGAGTCATTATTTATTATATTTTGCTTTCATCAGCCTATGTTTATAAATTCAGTAATTCAACAGCTTCAGCAATAACTCATGCAGCAATGGCTAAGCTTCTTTTTTATATTAGGAATTGAATAACAAGAGTATAGCGACCATTTATGCTAACATTACGACTGGCAATGATTGTAGATTTTTAAATGCTCTAAGAAATTCTGACGAGGAAAAATTTAACAAAAATTTCTTTTCATATGCTAAAAATAGATTTTGTTAATGAAACTCATAGGCCAAAAGATTACATTCAGTGCTATTTTAATTAAGAATAACTGATATGTTATTCACCATAGAAGAAGCAGTGGCAGAATATGTCGGCACCAGATGGCATAATTTAGGAAAGACAGAGTTTTTGGAATTTGGGGAAGCACCAAGCAGCAAAATTAAGAGATGAGAAGTTTTTTATGATTTAGGGAAAGCACTGGGATCCAAAGTTTAGGTGCAGTGAAAATTTAGAACTTAGGAAGGTGCGTTGTAGCAGAATTTAGGATTCATAGAGACTGCAACAGGCGGTATTTAGTGCCAGCCCTAGATAAAGCCTTAAGTATATGTGGGAGTTTATTTATTCAGGGCTCAGATTAGTTTTAAGCATGTGCAAGAAATAAACATAGGTATAGTAAATAACTAAACTAACACAGTTCAGGCTTAATTCAGTACGCAATAGGAGCAAGACAAAATTTAGCGAAACAACTTGGCTTTCGTCGCCAATCTTGTGATTCACAGCAAATAATGTATAACGGACATTATTAAGCTAGGTTAAAATTACCTTGATTGATTCTAAGGCATTTCAGTTAATGTAGCATACTGCACTGCTCTCTAACCTTCTAATTTGAACCAGTTTATTATTTTTTGCAGACGGCAATTTTATAAAAACTAAGCTTGAATTTTCGATTATGTCGAAAAGAGTTTCCAATTCTGGAGCTGCCAAAGGATCTACAAAGCAAAACCATGTTTCAATGTCTATTAAACAAAAAGTGGAGTTGCTGCAAAAAATGGATAAAGGCATATCCGTCTCAAAATTATGCGAGGAGTAAGGCATTGAAAAGTCAACTTTCTATGACATAATAAAAAAGAAAAAAGAACTTTTTGAGGAAGCAACTTAAGCAACTTACATTGAAAGAAATGTTCAAAAAAGTAAACAAATAAATACTCTTTTTTTTTTTTTTTTTTTATAAATTTTGATATCCTTTAGATCATATTTGTTCTTTATTTCATAAATTATGAGTTCATATTTTTAATTGTATAATTTCTGCATGCCATCTTACCAGATTTAAATTAATAATCTTCTAATATCAGGAAAACTCAGGAATCACCGAAGTCCCGACGAGTCCGGATTTTGGACTTTGTACTGTATTATAATTTTTTTTTAACATTACTTAGTCTCAAAATTCTGCAGAGGCTTATTTTTTACTTTTTTATTATTACTTAAAATTTCTGTCATTGATACATATTACAAATATTTTTATTGGATTCAAAACTAAAACCAAAATTAGGTTTTTGTACATATTGATAAAAGTGAAATACTCTGAAGAAAATAAAAGGCAACAAAGATATCTCATCTTTGCTTTAATAGAAATGAAATATCTTCAGATCTCAGGGAATGTTAAAAGATTATAGTCAGAAAAAATAATACATGAATTTAAAACAAGTTTTTCATGTGTACTTTAATAAAAGTAATATTTTAAGCAGGGATGATCAATCCCCATGAAATAATTCCTCCCACTCTTTCCCAACTTTTCAATAATGGAGTTATTTTTGCAGTGTCCTCTTTTTTTTTTTTTTTTTTTTTTTTTTACATTGCACGCTTTCAAAAATTTCAGCCTCTGCTCTTTAGTTTATGGTGAATTGTAAGTGTTTTGCCAGGGGGGATGTCACAGTTCAGTAGTCTAAAGACTTCAGAAAGACTGATAACCAAAGCTTTATCTAAATAATAAACAAAAAAAATATAGCCTGTTATCTTCGTATCATGAAATATCATAATAATATAAGAAAATATCACAAAGAAGTTTACAATACTATTACTTCACCTACATTGTTACTTTTTAAGAGCTTCTGTAATTTAAATGAAATTTTCAAAAAAACTGGCACACATATCTTCCATCCTCTGTTTAAAAATTAGCATGTATTAAATATTTTATATTTAAAAAACTAATATTTAATTACAAAAAATGTTCACAGCAGAAAAGGCATTTTAGAATCTTACTTCATTTATAACTTATTATCATTTATAAATTCATTAGATATCTGTAAAATAAAAGATCTTCAAAGGACAATATATAACAAAAATTATCTAACAAAATCTTCCATCGTTAGGGGGAAAATTTCAAAACATTTCAACTATAAATGGAAGATTATAAAGGAAATTACAGGTTAGTTAAGAGTATATCCCCTGTTATATTTGGATGGAATGCATAATACTTGAAATGAAGTAGCCTGAAGTATTTTAATTCCATTCTGAACTGGTTGCAGTGAAGAGTAGTTACTCAAGTACTTCTTTCAAGATGGCAGGTGCTGGAGATGGTGAATATTCTACAGCTGGAACTGGAGTAAATGTTGGAAATGCAGTCTCTATATTAAGCAAAAAAGGATTTTTTCTAGGTGAAAACTTATTTTGCTCAGTTTGTGATTTCTTATTCGGGTGTGTTTTTGAAGTTACTTCTTGGGCCATTTTTTCAGCCGGAAAGGGCATTGGTACAACTGGTTGAGACTCATTTTCCAAAAACTGTACAAAGAGAGTCGTAAATGACTTCTAAAAAATAAATAAACAAACAGAGTATGCTATTACTGAAAGAGCATATTTTGAAATCAGAAGAAGATAAAGGATTCCTCAAAAGTATAAAATAAGTATCAATTTACAATTTAAAATATAACAGACATGAAATATTTTACATCACGCTCTAAAGAAAATAATTTTACAATAAATAATTTCACGCATGCTAATGTTATACTCTTCAAATAAAAGAAGCTTTAAAAAGTTTACTAGCATAATACAATAATAAACTGTTTAAAAGCACTTCAGAAAATCATCATATGTTTTGTGGAGATTATGTGGCAGCCTCAACTGCGATGTAAAAGTGAGATAAATGAAGCTTTTGCCTCAGATAAAATTGAAATGCTAAGAAGAATTAAAATATTACAAATGTTAATCAGAAAGTGATTTAAAAAATATTATATTCAAATCTGTCAACACTACTCTAAAGGAAGCAGCAGTACTAAGGTAAAGTACAGACATTTCATGTGTTTCTGTTTGCAGAGATACTGAAATAATTTCAGGACAAGTGAACAGAGACAGTAAGTTATAAATCTACATTCCCATTTGGAGCCTCAGTTTTTGGAAAATTCTACATAAAATTTATAACACTGTATTCGCACCTGCACACCTGTAATGTAATCTGCGCATACGCATCTGTAATGTTATGATCAGATGAGTTTGAAAATTGACATCGATGGTGTATGAGGGCTGGTCACAGCTATGAGTTAATAATGAGTGATTGTAATTTAATTATGAGAATTAATAAAGTAACAAACCAGCAAACTTATTAGTGTGTTATTTGAGATGAGACCCAAACATATCTGGTCGTAGTCGCCGGAGACTGAGTTTTGTGCGTGAATACATAGTGTTTCGTTTTTGAGAATGCAGGAGTGCTTGTGTTTGCGAGTATTCCCAGCTTGTTCTTTTCAATGAATATCACCGATTTTGGATAAGGATATTCATCAAAAGTGAATCATTGCAGAGGTAAGTGATTCCTCTCTTGTTAATTCTATACATTCTGTTCTTTGTTCTGTTATAAATAACAATGTTATTTAAGGGTGTTAAAAAAAGAAGATTTAAGGTTTATTGCCTTAGAAATAAATTTAAATGTTGACGAAAAATGAATATAGCAGATTTAACTGGTATTATTGAGCAAAGTGAAATTTTTAAAACTAAACAAAATTTAGTAAAAGAGATAGCAAACTATTATCAAAAATAGGAAACAAGAAGAGCAAAAACTTGTCGAGTTAGAACAAATAAAACTTAAGAGATCAAAGAATGAGTTGGCTAAGATTAAAGCAGAAACAAAACTTGTTGTAAGCGAAACCAAAACAAAATCAGAGTCACTAGATCAATTAATAAAAAGTATCAGCATCTTAACTGTAAAAATTCCTATATGGCCTGAGAGTTGGGGATTTTTCTTTTCGTCATTAGAATGAGTGATTATTACAAAAAATGTTTCGGAGGAATATAAAGCAGAAATTTTGTTAAATCTGTTAGGAGACAAAGTTTCAAATATAATAACCTATTTACATGATAAGGATATCACAAATAATGAAAAAATAAAAGAAGTAGTTCTGAAAGAGTTTCAGCCAACATCATATTCGTGTTTAGAAAAACTGTTAAATAACCTCATGAAACTCGTGTGCAGTTCGCTTCAAGCCTAGTAACTACCTCGGATTATTATTTAAAATTAAGGAAGGTAACTGAATTCGAGGCCCTCAAACACTTCATACTTTCAGACAGATTATACCAATCTTTAGATACGAGAACAGCTTCTCACATTTCAGTGAGGTAAGGTGATTCATGGTTTTCACCTAGTGAGTTAGGTAAAGAAATAGATTTATATTTCACATCACAGGGAAAATCTCTTACTGAGAATTCTCATTTTAATCGTAAGTACAACAGCTCAAAAAGTGTAGTTAAATTGTTTTTGTCAGATGTTAAAACAGAGAACTGTATTTTATGCCATGGGAATCGCGGTTTGGAAAAATGTCCATCGTATTTAAAATTACCGGTACAAGAAAGAGTACAGGTTGTGAAATCTAACAAATTATGTTTTAACTATCTTCATATGCATTCAGTATCAAATTGCTCATCGAAATATTCTTGTTTTTGTCAAAAACGACACCACAAAACTATTCATTTTCCAAAAGCAAATATCGTAAAGGAGAACATTCCCAAACAAGATGACTCATCGACCTTGAATGTTAATGCGCAGGAGTTCGTTCAAAAGGCATTTATTAGCAACTATTCGAATAAACAGAATACAGTTTTGCTTTCAACCATCGCATGTTTTTTAATTGATAATGAGGGAAGAAAACACAGAGTAAAGTGTCTGCTGGATGGCAGTAATATGTCCAGTTTTTTGACACATAATTTTATTGAGCATTTGCAGTTAGAGCAAGAAAAAATAAACATTTCGGTTTTGGGAATAAATATTGCTACTTTGACAATTAAGCATAAAATTAATGCTCTGATATGCAATAAAGATACAAGATCTGACTGAAAGTGCACAGTGGCATCATATCGCTTCCAAAGAAAATCCATCAGAACTCATATCTAGAGGTATGGCTGCCAAAAGACTGCAACTAAGTCAACTGTGGTGGAACGGGCCTGACTTCTTAATGAAGGATGAGTACCCTATGAGAGATATACCTGAAGCAATTACTGAAAAGGACAGTAATGAACTTAAGAACTTTGCTAATTCTGAACTATTAACATGTTTAAATCTAAATGCGAATAATTTTGTTAATGATTTATTGAATTGCAGTAATAAGTATTTAAAATTAATTCATATTATAAGTTTTCGTTTTAGGTTTTATCAGAATTGTAAGCAAGAACAAAAGAAGGTAGGTGGGAGAATTGAGAGCAGCAGCTGAAGAAGCTTTATTAAAATTAGTGCAGGATGAGTATTTTATAAATGAGATAAATGGTCTTAAAAAATCGGGTATTGTTTCAAGAGATAGTTCTATTAAAAATCTTAATCCTTTCATTGACAGTAATGGACTGTTGAGAGTTGGAGGTAGATTACGAAAAAAAAATTTTCGTAATCTACCTCCAACTTTCCTATTATTCTGCCTTTTAAACATAAATTAACAGAGTTAATAGTTAATTACTATCATTTAAAATATTTGCCTGTCGGTCCTCAATCTTTGTTATATCATATAAGACAAAAATTTTGGATTGTAAGTGGTAGAAATGTTTGTAGAAAAATTGTATAACATGTTTCAAAGCTAATCCCATTGTAGCTCAGCAAATCATGGGTAATTTACCCAAGGAAAGAATTACAGCTAATCTTGCATTTAATTGTACTGGAGTTTACCTCTGTGGTCCATTCTTAATTAAGTACAAAAACCAGAGAAAAGGCATATATCAGAAAGTTTATGTGTGTATATTCATTTGTATGGTTACTAAGGCCATTCATTTAATACCGATAACAGACCTTACATCTGACGCATTAATAGCTACCTTGAAACGTTTCTTTGCACGAAGAGGTAAAAGTTTAACATTATTTAGTGATAACGCTACTAATTTTGTAGGTGCAAATGCAAAATTAAAGAGGTTAAATAAACTAGTGAATGAACAAGATGAGCTTTTAGCTGGTTATTTGAGCTCTGAGAATATTGAATGGAAATTTCTCCCTCCCAGAGCACCCAATTTTGGAAGCCTCTGGGAGGCTGGAGTTAAATCGTTTAAGTGCCACTTCAAACGTGTCATAGGAAATGCAAAATTGGCCTTTGAACAATTTTTAACAGTTATGATTCAGATTGAAGGAATTTTAAATCCCCGACCATTAACACTCCTGTCTTCGGACATTAATGATTTAGAAGTTCTAACACCTGGGCATATTTTAATTGGTAGAGCAATTAATTCGATTCCTGAGCCAGGTATCATGGAAGTTAACGTTAACAGGTTAAAACTGTGGCAATAGATCACAAGATTAGTACAAATTATCTGGAAAAAATGGAACTCCAATTATTTAAGCCATTTACAAAATTGATCTAAATGGCAAAGCTCTAAAAACAATATATAAGTTGGAGACATGGTCTTAATTAAAGATAATTTGCCTTACTAAATCAGAAGTATTCAGAAGAAGTTTCTCCTGGAAATTTACTCATGGTTTCTTTTGATGTAAAATCATTATTCACCAACGTTCCTGTGGAGGGTGCATTAAGATGTCTAGAAACCAGACTTTGCCAATTTCATTTCTCTTGCATCGAAATTGATGAGCTAATTTCTCTCACTCAATTCTGTTTGAAACAAACACATTTTCTTTTCCCAAATAAACATTACAAGCAAACTGAGGGATTAGCCATGGGAAGCCCCCTCAGTCCCATCCTGGCTGATATCTACATGCATTATTATGAGTAAAAATTGTTTGAAACTTTAAACTCCCCGGTATGGTTCCGCTACTTAGACGATACTTTTACCCTGATTGAAGGTAATAAAGATGATTTACATAAAGTTCTTTCAACAATGAATTCTACTGATCCTGCTATTCAGTTCACTTTTGAACTTGAGACTTGCAATTCTCTTCCGTTTCTCGACATTCTGGTCACACGTAACACATCCAACTTCAGTACTACGGTTTACTGTAAAACTTCATTGGTTTGCCTTCCACCACACTTTAATCATCTCATCTGACTAAACAAAAGTTAGCTTCATTTTATTCCTATGTTTCCGTGCTCTTCAAGTTTGCTCCTCCAAACTATCCCTTGATGAAGAACTAAATTATTTAAAAGCAATAGCTATTGACAGGGGCTTTTCACCCAACATTATTAATCAAGCAGTTAAAAAATTCTCATCTCAACACACTAAGACGCACACTCGTGTTTTAGGAGATTATAAAAATTTTTAATGTCATTCCCTTCTTTCCATCAATTAGCTATAAAGTTGCACATATTTTGCAGAAATTTAACTTTCGGGTCGTTTATTCTCCCATCAATAAAATTCCGAGTTCCATACACAAGGACCCCATTCCAGATATGAATTCCTGGGGTATTTATAGGATTCCTTGCCAGTGTGGTTTAATTTACATTGGCCAAACTAAGAGAGCCTTAAAATTTCGCATCAAGGAACATGAGGCATATGTTAGAAAAAAGGAAACACAGAAGTCTTCTGTTGCTCAACATTGTTGGTCCGAAATTCACACTTTCAATTTTTCTGCTGCCAAAATTATTCAAAAAAACATCTTCCATTGGAGAACTGGATTTTCTAGAGGCATTTCACATTCAAAAAAATCTTTCTGCTTTAGTCAACGATCCTAATTCCAATCCATCTTTGCCTTCGGTTTTTAAAGAAATTATATTTTAGTTCTGGTTTCATGAACAGTTGGCACCCCTTGCTTATTCTTGTCCAGGCTTTCTTATCTTATCTAATCATTATTTCCTATCTTGTTTATTTGTGGTTTTGCAGCTGAGGATGGTGGTTCAGCAAAACCATCGAAACTAGTCCTGTGAAAATTTTGAAAATATAATGCTGATTTTTGTTGTTTGACTTCTGAATTAGTATTTGTTCAGCGTGTTATTGTGTCTTAATAATTTGCCTTGTTGTAATTGGGCAATTGGTCGTATAATACAAGTATTTTATAGTAAAGATGGAAAGGTTCGCGTGTGCAATGTAAAAACTCAAACTGGAACTTTCAAACGACCAAATTACCAAATTATGTGTCTTACCAATACAAAAATGATATTGTCTTTATCGTTATTGTGTAGTATTGAATGTGCTTCACATAAAATGTCATTATATAATTGAAATGTTATATTGCATTCTTTTGAGTTATACGCTGATGTATATGGTAAATGTCTAATTATAATAATGATTTTATGTAATAGTTCTTATTCAAAATTGTTTATAATATACTTGTTTAAATTTCTTTATACTATATCTTAATTACAATAGGTGAATGCTACGCATTGCAACGTGGGGCGGCATGTAATCCGCGCATGCGCATCTGTAATGTTATGATCAGACAAGTTTGAGAATTGCCATGGACGGTGTACGAGGGCTGGTCACAGCTATGAGTTAATAATAAGTGATTGTAATTTAATTATGAGAATTAATAAAGTTATGAACCAGCGAATTTATTATAGTGTGTGTTATTTTGGATGAGACCCAAACACACTGTATTCCTTCAAAGTTAACTATAGTTAGTATATTTATTACATGCTGCACTGCATTACTCTAGGTTATATAAAAGTATATATTATTATTAGAAAAGTTCAGATTATTAAGCACAAGAGGTGGTGAATTATTATTATTATTTAAGTTAATGAATATAATACGGAAATGAACAAAACCAACTTATTTGAAACCATGATATATTTTTCCACCCACTGGTCCATTATGTTATTGATTATTCTACATAAGTTACATATTTATTTGAGAGCATTGTAAATGCAATTATACACAGTTTAAAATCTGATTTGAAATGCTGAAATCAGCATACATATTTGTAACTTTGTCTATTACACTGTGATACAAACATTTCGTATCCACATATCAATGCTTAAAGTTTGTAAAATTAAATACTTTCTTCAGGATTCAAGATATAATAAGAAATAAATGAAATAAATCTTTTGCAAACAATGAAACAACTTTTTTGATCTTTTAACAAAATTAATTAAAATTAAAAAGAAAAATGTGCAGTTTCCAGATCGATCATAATTTTTACAGTGAGGGAAAGAAATAAGTTGACACCATACTAGTAATCTAACTGCATTTTATTTGCAACAATATATTCAAAGAAACAACAAAATATTGATAAATTTTTAATAATTATGATTTTTAAATTGCATCCTTACTTCCGGGTTTATATTAAAATCAATCAAACCATTTGCATACTTTCAAATTTTCATTACGTTACATAGAAATCTTCTGAATTTTGCAAGTTTCATATTTTCAAATAGTCTCTAAAATTCAGAATCCTGTACACTCCACTGACACATATTCCAATAAAAAACCTTGAATTTATCAAAAAAAGAAATTAATTAAAAAGTAAAATGCAGAAGGACAGAATCTTTACTCTCACATGTTAACCACATATTACCTTATTTTTGCTTCATTTAATCTAAATACATTTACATACCAAAATGGAAGAAAAATATGCCGTTGTAAAATTTAAAATTACCCAAAACAGCAACCAGTAGATTTGGACAAAGCTAAAATTTTATTACTCACGAAGAAGAGGTTCATGTACGTGACTGCCCTTGAAATCAAGAGAGTTTTATTCCAAAATCTATTTCAAGCTAAGTTTGCTGGTTTGCTTAATTTTAAATATTAACATATATTCCTTGTGTTAAATTTTCTTTTTTTAGTTTAAATTCTACATCAAATGTCCATCATATGCAGACAAAGGTAATAAGCACCTTTAAAAATATCTACTTCAATAAAGATTTTATTAAATATATGCTGATTTGGAGAAGACTGTACAAATATATTTGGGATAGTAAAAAAGCTCTTCACTGCAACATGCCTATAGGTGATTAGAATGACTACTCTGAATTTACAGATAATTTTATGCATAAACTTGTTCATGATTTTAGCTTTGGCTTAATATACTGTCAAGACAGAATTTAAAAAAGCCCTTACATAAAAGTAGAGGGGGGGAAAGCCAGTCTCACCACTAAGCAACATTGCATTAATGAACTTCCTTTCATTTTCTTATGTATTCTGGATGGTTATTCTCAAATATACGATAACCCAATCTCCATGAAGACTAAACCCAGTACAGAAAAGAGGAGAACAAGAGAAGGTTGGCACACTATTTGTATTGCAAGTGATAAGGTAGAACATTTCATCTGTGAAATCTCCCAGTGTACTCGTGATGTAGGTATAATATCTGGCTCAATTTATTCAGTTTGACCGAGCTTCTCCAAGATGTCATATGTAATTTTTATATATACTGCTGGCCATTAAAATAATGCCACCATGAAGGAAGCATTCAACAGACCTTAAATTTAGATGTTACTTATAGCTTGATAAGGCATGCAGTGATTAGTAATACATCCCTAAACATCATAGTAATTAATAATCTAACTGGAAGGCAACATAAAAGAGAATAAAAAGAATGGCTTTTTCATCATGTTTGCATAGGTCTGATTCATGTACGCAGAATTCAAACCAGCATGCCCTAATTTTGATTACAGGGAAATTGTTACATTTAATGACTGCTTACTTTTTTACCCCAATATTGCTGTTTACACTGGTGAAAAGTCACTGTCATACAAACATGGCGTTGATAAATTCAAGAAGGATGAACGGGACAATATGCAGGATAAAAAAGATTTGACATACTGCTTAAGAGAATGTACATCTTACATGTTATATAACCATATCCCATTCCTTAAATCAGAAATTTAGGTTTTAGACATGGCAAATATTATGTCATCTGCAACAATGTTTTGAGGTACCTATTATTTGCTTCACCACCCTTTAATGGTACAACACAGACATATGTAACTTCTATGAGGTATTAAAAAATGCACATGGACTTAATAAATGGTATATTACTTTTTCAGATTCCTGAGTAATTTCCTTTTAAAAGATGATATCAGCACCTGTTTGACTAACATAAGTAAATACTTCACAAGAGTAACCACTTCCCATAAATAACTGTAACTAATATGAGTAAATGTTGGCATAATTTGAATACAGTAGAAGTCTAGAAATCCGCAGAGCATGGGACCAGTGGTTGTGCAGATTTTAGCATTTTGCGGATTTCGGGACAGAAAAGATAAATCCTAATATTCAGACTAAAAGTGCAAAATAAATAAGGCATATTAGATACATTTAATTAAATTATTATATACATTATTGCATATATGCATTAAATTATTATTACATATATAAATTGATTATAATATTCATTGTATTATTACATGTACACAGCATCGAGGTTTGCCGATTTCGCCTCATGCAAAGATTTCCGGTTTCGGATTCCGGTGTTAGAATCACTGTTGCTGTAAAATTTCAACAGCTTTTCTTTATTTTTCTGTATATCATACACAATCCAATCGTGACGCAATTCCATACAATTCTGCTATAAACTGAGAAGTAGCACCTGCTTCCATCTTTTGCAGAATTTGCACTTTTTGCATTACCGTCAATGCAACGTATTTACGTTTTTCAATGTTGCAAGCAGTAAAATCCTGAGTACATTTCTTATCTGTAATTGTATTAAAAAGGCCTGAAATTTAAAACATTCTTAATTTATCTACAAAATATCCGGATAATCTTGTGAAATAACAAAGCTCAGAAAATACAACATGAATTGTGAACTTAAAAGAAGAGTTGAGTAAATCATCTGCTTTTTTACCTCGATGCAGATTAGAGAGGGGAAAAACTTTTATCATGATGTCAATAATTTGGTATTTCCGTTATGACTCATTACTATTCGGTAATTATGACGTCATTATTTGGTAAGTATTTTTTCTTCGATATTTCGTACTCAATGTTACGGTTACCGGAACCCATAAACTGAATGTTTATCTTTTGCGAGACAATGCGTATTTCAGGTCGACGGATTTTCGGTATTTGACTGTACTTGGTGGATTTTTTATGTAACTGAACTGGCTCATCATCCAACGTAGATTTTTAATGTACTATTTATGGATTAAATAAAACTTGGAATATTTCATTCTATATATTTGGTAAAGAATTTTGACACTGAAAAGAATCAAATTTTCTTAGTTTTTTGCAATGAAAATAAAGTATAAAAATATGAACAGTTTTCATAATTTACCTCTGGCATTCTTCTTGAAGGTTCAGGAGAACTCAAGGTAGGTAAACGACTGAATATAGAAGATAATAAACCTTTCTGTTCATGTCTCCCTGCATTCCTATGAACTACAATCCCTGCCTATTGAAGAACAGATATAAATTAATATTTTCCAAGTCTTACAAACCGGAAATAATTTTTTAAGCATTTTTTCAAGCAAAATAGGATTTTATTATTTCAAAAATCTTCATAGAGTGAATAACTTATTGAATTATACAATTAAAACCATACACAACACTAGATGACTTTTAATAAGAAATTTTACGAACTTCAATAAAATAATCATAGAGTGGTAATAATATTTAAAGCTTCAATGAATGACTAAAAAAAAATCTGTTAATATGTTAGAAGTTATGCATTAGAAGAGGCACAACGTCTTGCTTTTATGTACACACTCAGATAAAAAAAGGGGAGTTGGAAACAGTTCAAAATCTCCCATTTCACACTTGGTCGATTGATAAATTCAACTTATATTTTTCATGTTTTTAAAGCATGGCTTAGAATATGTATTAGATTTATACATAGTGTTGTTCTAACATTCTGACACAAAAGTGGACCTTTTCCTGATATTGCAGGCCAATTATATATATAGATAGATTGATAGATTCTACAACTCAAATTATGCCTTAAAAGCATATTTCGTAAAATTTGATGTGAAATTTAATCAGTAATTCAAAAACTTTCTTTGGTGAACTTTTTTTAATTTGTGCCAAGAATAATTCATTTAACGAACTCATCAGTTTACAGCAAATAATTTCCCTTTCTCTTTCATTCTGTGTGAGTAGAGGGAGGGGAATCGCTTCTACTTTCTTGCATATATTTCTGCTTCATATTATATTTTTTAATCATAGTTGTTACTTTTATGTCCTCTCTTTAATTGTTTGTGTAGCATAGTTGAATTATACTTCTTTAAATTCCTAAATTAATGTCTTTTACAAATTTATTGTCTTTATTTATTGGTTTTTTACAAAATTTTAAACAACATTAAAATGTTTAATACCTTCAAAATAAAAAATTCTTAGAACTAACATTTGTCAACATTTTTTATATGTATACTGTGTGTTGTCGCCAATAAAGTCTGCTTGGCGAGATTTGCGGCGGTGAAACGAAAAAGTACCGTTTTGTCATATTCAATAAAATAAAATCATGGCTGTACTTTCACTAATCTGCTGCATTCCTCCACACATGTAATTGCTTTACTGAATAAAAGATATGGAAGTGGATCCAAATTGATTGTTTAAATAATGTTAAATCTATTCTTCATATTAAATTATATATTTAATTAAAGTAGTTAAATTAATATTTATACAATTGAAACAATTGGATAAATGGTGCCATTTAAATAAAATGTAAGTCAATTAGTTTACATACTTTTTCCATTTCTTCCTGATTAAAATCTAATACTCTGGCTAAAAGACGGATAACTTCCGACTTCTGTCCAGGTGGTGTTGAAAAGTAGCCAAGCACTAAGCTTTTCATAACCATTCTTAAAAAAAAAAAAAAAAAAAATACAGGTAAAGAATTATAATAAAGCTTTTCAAAGAATATATTTCCATACTTTCATATGATATATAAATACAACAAATACTTGAGGAACATTAAAAGTACTTTTTACTCATACACATCTCACATAACTACAGCAGATCTTTACTGAGTTACACTACACTGAATGCCAAGATGTAGAATTCAAAAGCAATGTTAACTTTTCTAAAATTGAGTTTTTGATAATTTGAAATTTTTTAAAACTTCTTTCAATTTTGGTTTATGAAAATTCGATTATATAGTAATCTACTACTCAGCTACATAGTAATTAAAATAATTCACTAACTTTCCCCAAAAACTGTACTCGTAATTATGAGGTACGTGTGATGCCACTGTAATTAGTTATCCTGTGCTCAAATAATACAAAAAAAATTCTATTAAATTATCCATTTAATTACACAATTATCCTTAATGTCCCCTAACCACATTTGTCATAAATTTTACATAAAGAATTATCTCCAGTAAAACAAAGAGCAAAAAATAATATCAACATACCTGTCAACTTTGCCTTCAGTAGTGCTTTTGATAGTATCAATTTCTTGTGTTGTTGATTTAATTTTACTTTCGGTTTTTGATACTATAATAAAAGAGGAGGAATAAAGAAAAACAGAAATTTTAAACACAACAAAATATCCATGCATTAATTTTTCTACAAAATACCATACACTCATTTTTCAGATGAGCAATCATTTCCTCTTTGGCATCCAACTGTTCACTAAGTCTTGAAGCAGCTTCTAAAGCCCGAGAGCTTTCATCTAGTTGCATCTAAGTATATGACATATAAAAATGCCTTATTTTATTAAAATAGACATATTTTTACAAAGTATACAATTCAGATAAATTACATTTAACATTTAATTGATCACACAGACTAAAGGTAAACATAATAGGAGATATAAATTTTACAAAGAATTAGAAAATCCACAGCATTGCAGTAGTTCAAATGCTTGGAGTAGTGTTTAATTATCACTTTACATATATTAAGCATTTATTTTACATGGAAACCTGCATGCTAATAAAAATTGTTTTCAAACACTTTTGTCTGAGCATCTTCCTCTGTGAATCCACTTAACAGCATATGGGTATATGGTTTTAATAGAGATTTTTTCCTTCTAAAGAGTTGATAAAGAATGTATTTTCATGCATTTTTGGATCAAACACCACACAATCTAACGTTATAAACAACTATGCATTGAGAGATAGAGATACAAGAACAGGTAATATTAAGCAGTTGCCTGGACAAACTGCACATATGGCAAAATCACATTCCGCAGAGTTAACTTTCAATAGAAAAAACATGTTAGGTATAGTTCTGATATAAAAGTATGTATAACTTACACAAACCTAAATATTATTGTAATTAAAAGGGGAAATGAAACAAATCTTAATTAAAAGGATTTTTATTTCTGCTTAATAAGTAAGTACATGATACAAATACTTTTCTTAATAGCCTCCCTTTTTTTTTTTTTTTTTTTTTTTTTTTTTTTTTTAACTTGGGACAACGTCTGATGCAATTCATTACGCGTTTCACAGTAAGGGGTGCAAATTTTTTCAGTACCTCTAATAAAATGTCCTCTTTTTCCTTGAGTCAGTCTTCATTACAATATCCAATAGTTCCTATGCCTTTCTTAAAAGTTGATTTAACTGTACAATAAAGGCTTTTCATCTTCTTCACTAGCACTGCTTTCACCACCGTTTAATGTTATCAAATCACCTAATTTTTCATTTATCATTTCACACTTGTAATTCTCTATTAATTCTTTAATTTTTCCTCCTTCCATATCTAAAAATCCTTTGCCGCCTATTGCTTTTGTAATTTGTACAGTTTCTTTGGATTCATTTTCAATCAATGAAAATCCTTTAAAACTGCTAACAAGTTCTGTCCAGTAATGATGCCAGAAAGCATTCACTGCTGATTAATTCACTTGTTTCCATGTGAGTTTAATTCACTCCTATGCAGTATCTTATACTGAGTTGCTTACAAAATACCATTAGAGCGTTGTGCTTTCCCTTGTCTAGTGCTTTATTTGTAAAGATTAAACATGCCTCACAAAACAGGCTTTGAATGTTTTTTTGATTTCTTGATTCATTAATAGATTGAGGACGGGGTGTTCAGTAAGAGAAATAAAACCTCTACATTTTGATAGAAAGTTGTGAGAGTCTCAAGTATTTCCTGCATTTATTTTGCATGGTAGATTTCGAGTAAACAATGGGTCAGTTTTTCCATAATTATTTTTAATTTTGGCATGATGCATCGCTGTGTTATTAACAATGGTACAGAAATGTTGAAGAATCCTTTTAGCTGGGGTTCTGTCAGTGGACATTTGAAAACGTAATGACCAGCAACAGCCAATTCGCCACAGGAGCATTTGTCAGTATTTGCTTCTTGCAAAAGTAATCTGGAAATGAGACATGGCCCTACATATACTGCATTAGAAAACCTTGTGTACTTCAAGTTTTGTTATCACCTTTTGGAAAGAATTTGTGTGTGCAATGACCTGTTGTTGCTTCATTGCAATCTTACTGCCAGATCTTTTGTGTGTGCATATTTATTATACTCCTCAGGTGGGTCTTGGGAAATGACACATCAAGAAGTTCTATTTGCTTTTGTGCTGCCTCCTCTGCTAATACATCTGCATTTTCCATTGTGGTATTTTATCCCCATGAACGCATTTTTTTTTTTTTTTTTTTTTTTTTTTTTTTTTTTACATATTTTTTTTAGTAGAGATTAATTTAAAAAGCAATTTTATAATTGTTGACTGAGTTATGAAGTGATAATATGGCCACCTAGCTGTCTGATTTAATTAAGATATGGGGAATTCAGTGGTCATTTTCTATTTTCAATGTTCCTTTCATTACTGAAAGTTCTGCCTGATGAATGCTGTTATTGTTTTTCAGGTATCCTTGCCATTTTATACAGCGTTGAGACTTTTTCTACATATGGACTTTTGCATACAGACTGAACATCCAGCATTTCCATCTATTTTGAAGCTGTCCATAAATGCTGTTTTTTTTTTTTTTTTTTTTTTTTTTTTTTTTTTTTTGTGTTTTTTTTTTTTTTTTTTTTTTTTTTTTGGATGATGAACTCTGCTGTTTCTTGCTGACATTTTATTCATATATATGGGAAAGCAGGGTGTTTGTTACAGGGAAGGGGGAGCGACATTTATATTCTTCAGTTTCATAAAGATGGTCATTACAGGAAATGTCCTGTTTTAACTGCATGGCTGTTGTATAGCTTCATCTACGCCTTGTACATATAGAAAGCTTGTTCCAGCTAGTATGTTGAGTACAGCACTTGAAGTTGTATGAAATCCACCTGTTATACATAAAATAAATTGTCTTTGAATTGAGGTTAGAATTCTCTTTTTGTGTTCAGTCTTAGGTACGGCCCAAGTGGTGTCATTTTAAATCACTATTTTGGTTATTACAGTATTATATAAAATTTTGGCAATATGGGGGTTTTAGGAGCCATTTGTATCCATTCCTTAGTCTTAAATTGAGTCCTATTTGGTGAGTGTATGCTTTGATCTCCTTCAGATGGTGGATAAGATTTTACTTTGATCAATGTGGATTCTTATTGCTGGCTCATAACAGTTTGTACCATTTCTATTTACAACTCTAAAAATTTTTTTATCGAAGTTATAGCCACATCACTTAAATAAAAAAGATGCTCCCTAACAATATAGTGGCCTCTAGTTTAAAATAAAGTATTTATCATCCCCCAGAAACTTTCTTAAAATTTTAGGCTGTTGTCATTCAGCCACCACATCATTTAAAAATTACAATATTTCCAATTGAGAGGCCCAATTTAATGGCCCTGATATGGCAATTTGTACTAAACGAATTAGGGAATTCAAACAAAAAAGGTCAATAAAAACATTACATAGAACATGGGTTCTCAACCGGTGGTATGCAAGAGAAAAATAGGTGGTACGCAAAGAAGCAAAGTATTTTTTAACTATTAAATTCAAAAATTAAAACTCCATTCTGATTGAGTTTTTTTCTCTAACAATCGTAAATTTATGCGATCTGAGCTTTGTTTAAGAATGGTGGTGGTAATAGTACTTTGTAGTGGTGGTACTAAAGGTTTTCCATTTTTGTTTAGATGGTAAACCCCTGATATAGACCATTCTTCAAGCAATTCACTTCTTACCTGTTTCATTTGCAATTTTTCTTCTAGTTGAGTACAAAGTTCTTTTTGTTTGTCAAGCTGAAGCTGCCACTTCTTTTCAACGTCTTTCATTTTCCGTTCATTACCTACAAAATTTTTTATTAAATATCAATATATTTTAGAACATGAAAAATAAAGACAAAATACTCATGACATTTATTTAAAGATGAAAAAGAGCTTAAAACTCCTAAAAGCTGTGTAATTTGCTTTTGAATGCAACAATAGCCTGGGGGGGAGCTAAATCAACTTTTAAAATTAACACCAAAAATTAACATTTATTAATCATACCGAGCCAGATACTTTATTTTGAAAGACTGAAGACTATTTTTATTTTTATTTTAGAACTCTGCTTTTATTAACTAATCAAAAAACATTTGTAACAATATGTTACACGCAGTAAGAAATCTGGCATTATATAGAAAATCTAAGGATTCTGTGCAATGCCAGATTTAGCTCTACATACAATTGTGGTAATATACACATTATGAACAGCAGAACTATTAAATGTAAGCCTCATATGGGTGGGTATTGCAATAACTAGAAGTTGACTTACAACAGAACTGTATCTAAATGCAAACTTTTCACACTGAATTAATTTATAACTTAACAAAAACTTGCATCTTCCTTTATAAGTACAATCACATAACTATGACTTCCCCCCCTTAAGAAAAATTATACTTGCTAAAGCATGTCCAAGGGCAATTCGGAAAATAACCTCCGTTGTGGCATGGCACTAGTAGTAAGGGGCGAAGCACAAATAGTGTTACATTAAGCAATCTGTGATATAGTAAGCTTCCTGCTGTCCTAGTGAGAGTGTCATAATGCCGCACATCTGCTGTTATAACATCGCAAAATGTGCACTGCTTTTGAAATTCCCACCAAATGCAACGTAAGAGGAGTAATACAATTTACTTGGGCAAAAAAACTGTCAGAGGCAGATCTTCATCTTTTCAAAGAAGGAAGAATTGCATACTGGAATACTGCATAAATTTGAACTAAGTATTTGGAAGAACAAGAGCATTATTGTACATTATAAAAATAAGGTATTTTTAACCCTTTCTGAAATAATTACAGATCAAGTTTCGTTTCCAAAAAGAAATCTTCCTTCTTTTTTAATTCTTATTTTATGCATTTTAAAACATTAATCATGCATCATACGATTTTCAAATTCTCAATGGAAAATAAAGTAAAAAAAGAAAGCTCTTATAAAATAAGCTTTTATTTAAAACAAAACATAATTAATGAAGTAAAAGAAGAAAAATTTATTATATACTTTCATGGGACCAAGAGGGGGATATTTAATCCATTCTCTTTAACAAATTAATCTGAATTTGTTTTGTCACTCATAACAAAAAGGGGCACACCCTGGATATTTTGTAAAGATAACAGTTTATACTTTTGACAATGCAATTCAATTTAACAATTTCAGTACTTGGGCACCCATGCTTTTATTACTTGTGATATAACATTGCTGACGGATTTTGTACAGATATTTATTTAATCTCTTATTCCCATAAAACTATATGATAAATTAAATTTCTTCTTTTAGTTCATTAATTATTACATAAGTTTTAAAAAATATTTTATCTATTGATTCATTTTACCTCCACTTTTTTAGTCTCGATTATAGGATGAGAAAAATTTATGTAAAATTATTATAATATATAAACTATGGAACTTATTTATATAAACTATGGAACTTATTTATATAAACTATGGGGGGGATTAAATGACAAAATACTTTCATAGAAAATCATTTTAAATGCTAATCAAGCCTTAAACTCGGTTGTTTTTAAGCAAAAAAAAAAAAAAAGTATAGCAGCAATAAGAATCATGCGATGTAATGTTACTAAAGCCCTGAAAGTTTGTTTCCAAATGATGGCCACAAAAACACATTTTTCCACCCTTCTATTTCAGACTGCAACATATTTTTTTAAAAAAAGGATAGAAAATTGTCCAATTAATAATTTTTTTTTTATCAATCTTGTTTGAAATAGGGTTGTCACTCAAGCAGAATGAAATTCCCTGAATTTTGCAGGTGTTTCAAGAAAAATTCCAGGCTATTTGTGTACTGCATGCTGGCTGTACTGAGTTTAATTATAGAATGACTTGAAAACATAAAGATTTGCCAATTACACATGACTTTACATATCCATAATCTGCAAAGCATTACTTTTATAACTATAATAGGAGTTGTTTTCTCCACCAAGCATCAGTGGTGTAGCTAGGGTGCGGCAAGAGGGTATATCTGTCCCCGGGGAGCAGCATTAGGGTGCCAAATTGATGTTATAAAATTTAGAATGAAAGGTTTTCCATATGTGCAAAATTTCTAATTGTACTCGGGCACTGAAATCCTAGCTACGGCTCTGCCTAGCATTGAGGTTAAAATCTGCCCAATACGGATTTTAAAATGTCTTTTTTGCAGATATTTTGCAGCTAATGCAAGAAAGAAATCTATTTAATGATATTTTTAAATAAATTCAAGTATTTTATATTTATTTAGCAGCATACCTAAGTAAAAGGTATGCACACTAAATTCTATGATGGTATGTCATATTACTGCTAGAATTAGTTTCACAAGTATGCCAGAGAAAACTGCTTGAAATTTGAAAGTATTATTAACCAATAATAAATAAATTTAGACGGAAGAAGACATTAAATGATACAAATAACATTAAAACAAAGTTAATTACTTAAGGATTAAAAATTGAATTACAAAAATCAATAGTAATTCAGCAAATATAGCTATTTTAAATGGTTAGCCTAGATGACTGACTTTTAGTCAAAAGGGGCAATTTGCCCAGAAGGACTATTAATTTTGTTTTGGCATTTTGGGTCAATTCACTACAAGCTTTGTTTCACTTTTCAAATTGTTGCTACCAAATATTATTGCCCTGTATTATATTTAAAGAAATTAAATAATGAAGAACCTCCATAAATATACGTATGTTTCGCACATTGTGATAAAACAATGGTACCTAGAGCCATCAAATTTTCAATAATGCACTGTGAATATGGGCATCTGGAAGCCTAAATTTGAAATTTGTTTTATTATTGATTTCAAATTTTGTAAAACTTAAACAAAATTTTGATTAAACTCAAGGACTTCAAAGCGAGCAATGGCAATGTTGTACAGAAAATACATTTTTATCTCCAACACGCGAGACTATGTATCGGAAATTCTAAAGATATGCTCATTTAAAAATTATTTTGCAATAGTGCTCTTGAACTGAATTTTATGGCTTAAGTGAAAAGAACATGAAATTTAATATATAAAGGTAACACACGAAATGTTAAAAAAATGGCCCTTTCGATGTGATTTAAAATCTGAAACCTTTCAGGTTTTTTTTTCCTGCAAAATGACAAATAAGGCACTTAAGAAAGAAGAAAAGGGTTGAAAAGATTTTTGATTGATACAAGAATAGGGGGAATTTACTTTCACTCAACATAAACTGCACATGCAAATCTCTGGATTCTCTAGGTTATTGGAAACCCCAAAATGCTGAAAACTTGCTTTGCCTTTCTAAAAGACAATCTGATTGGTGCTATGAAAATTGGTTCTATGCCAGCTATCCGAATGACACTCACGGGATACATGATTCACCAAGAAAGTGATCACTTCTGATGTTGGCACAAAAATCGCTTTTTATGAAATTCCCTGACTTTTCAGATTTTGACTAAAATATTTAAATTACCTGACTTATCTGGTCAATTTTCGAATTCACTGACTTTTCCCGGTTTTCCAAGTAGTGTGGGTATTCTGTTGAAAAGAAGGTGAAGAAATTATTTTATAATCTCTGAAAATTTCAAAGCTTTATTCTGATGCAATTTTTGAACACTGAAATTTTAAAATAATGGATGTCAAATAATTGGAATAGGGGAACGAATAATATCGAACAATTTTTAAAAATTTGTCAGAGTTAAAATTTCCATTTAAATTTCATTTAAAAGATTTTTATCTGCTCTATTCAATGATGCAGCCAGTAAAATACTGATATTTTTAGTTTATTCATTAAAGATATGCATGAAAAATTATTTAAATCTTAAATTTTAAAAAAAAATCTAAATTGAATTTTGGAAAAATAGCATTCCCAAATTATATTATCATCCACAAACAGAGTATGAGAAGAGACAGAAGAATCTCAATGCAGATTAATGACAAACTTTTGACGATAGCAAAACATGAGTGAACTAAATAAAATTTTATAAAAAAGGCATATGAATACACATGAAGGAAAAAATACCCTATATATTGCGCATTTTTTCACTCACTTATTCTTTTCCCAAGCATTTTAGCACAAGATTCTGAATTTTTTTTTTTTTTTTAATTCATATAATTTTTCCCTTCCTCAAGGTGAACAGAAAGCAAGTTCACCTAAATTCTAAAATACATTCCTTCACATAGCGATTGTTTTAGTCTTACTAATTAATGATTAGCTCCCGGTTTTTTGGTGCATGGACTCTGATTGATGAAGCAATTATAGTAAGGAGCTTTAAGAAAATGAAGCTATGTAATGCTTTTGATGGTTCTCAAAATCACTTCATATAGAAAGAAAACTAAAAAAGTGAAGGAAATAATGATAACAATGGTGATGGCAAACACTTTCAAGCTATAGCAGATGATATAGACAACAGTTTCAGTAGCAGTGAATGATTTAAAGCCAAGGAAGCAGCAATGGACAAAAATAAATATCAGTGAGATTCAAAATACAGGAAAGCAAAAATGAACAAAACACGGAAAAAATAAAAAACAAATGCATAAAAAATCTTAAAGCTTTTAGATTTTATACTATGCCCAAATGGGTGTTTTTTTTTTTTTTTTTTTTTTTTTTTTTTTTTTTTATGTTTTGTGTGTTACCTTTTTAACGTTTTGTGTTTTGTGTGCTAAAAATGGCCCTTTCGATGTAATTTAAAATCTGAAATCTTTCAGGTTTTTTTTCCTGCAAAATGACAAATAAGGCACTTAAAGAAGAAAAGGGTTGAAAAGATTTTTGATTGATACAAGAATAGGGGGAATTTACTTTCGTGTTTATCACGTTCTTTGCACTTAAACTATAAAATATCTTAAACAGCAATATCACAAAATATTTAAAAGAGCATATCTTTAGAATTTCCGATACACAGACTTGAGTGCTGGAGATATTTCCCCCCTTTCCCCCCCCCCGTACAGTGTTGCCATTGCTGGCTTTGAAATTGTTGAGTTTCTTAATCAAAAAACTCACAAATGCTTTACAAAATATGAAATAGATAATAAGAGCAATTCCAAATTTGGGCTTCCAGATGCTCATATTCAGGTGGAGACTTACGTTATTCAACATTTGACGGCTCTTAGTACCGCTGTTTTATCACGATGTGAGAAATATATATACATTTATGCAGATTCTTCATTATTTAATTTCTTTAAATTTAAAACAGGGCTCTAATATTTGGTGACTGCAATTTTAAAAGTGATTTGCTGTTTATAGTGAATCAACACATAATGGCAAAACAAAATTAATAACCCTTCTGAGCAAATTGCCTCTTTGGGCTAATTATCTCCATTGTGGTACTTGTAATAAACAAATATATTTCCTTCGAACTAATCAGAAAAGTTTATGTTTAGCAATTTTGCTACACACAGTACCCTTTTTTTTTTTTTTTTTTTTTTTTTTTTAATATCAGAATATTTTGTTAAGAGTTGTCTTTATTTGACTTTAGCTCAGTTGCCTTCAGAAATTATGTGCTGTACTTCAGCTATTAAATGAATTGGCATGAAGATCTGGAAGTTTACAATTGTGAAGGCAAATACGCTTTGGTTTCTGAAGCCAAGTGCTGACTAATAAACTATATATATGAAAGCTATGTTTCTTAAAAACTTTGAAAAATATTTTATCCCTAGCCTGGAGCTCACTGAATTTGCTAATTAAAATTTTCGGCAAAATTACCAGTAATAGATATTGTAATGTTAATGCTACACATTCCTATTGGAATGTAGGTTTCTTTTAAATAAATAATAATAGGATAGTAGTTTATTAATGAATATTTTTCATTTGCTATGTTCTTATTGCAACCATATCCTTCAGAAATTAAATAACTTACATAATATTTCTTTCTCAATTTTTGTATGATAAAATTACATATTAAAGAAATGAGCAGGAAAACATAAGTAAATGTGATACACATTTATTAACTGAATTATTTTAAATATCATATCAGCATAATACTTTAAAGATAATTGCATGATTGGCTATGACTTGTTTATTTCTGGCGCCATTGCTTCCCCCCTCTTTGAATGATAGGTGGTGGTGTATTTAATTATGGCAAAGCACACTAGGGCTATCTGCCTAAGGGGAGGGATGCCTTTCATGGAGGACTTTCTAAGGGAAACTGGCTCGTATACACGTTACACATGGGGAAAACCACGAAAACACCCATGCAGCCAGCCCGTTCGCAGGATTCGAACCTCGGACCGAACTCCAGTGTTCAGCGACATTACCGCTCGGCCGCTGGTGGGCCTTTGAATAATAGGAAAAAATTGAGCATGATAATTTTAAGCTATTATTTTTATAAAGTATATACTTCCCTATACTATAAAGGCAATTAAAATAAAATCCACGCTACACTGAAAATTTTTTTGATCAGTCATTAAATAGCACAACTTTCTGTATTATTGTTACACAGCCATTAGTTCTCACAACTTTCTGCATATTCATATACATGGACATTCACATTCAATTATATTATTCATTAATAAGAAATTTTGAATAATATACATCTCTTCTTTTCCAAACTCTTCAATATTAATTAAAATACAATTTGTGATGTACTCAGCTATTGCATAGAAAATAGTGAAAAAAGGTTTGGCTAGAGGGGGGGGAGGAAGGGTAAAAATTTTCATCCAACTTTCTGAAGCAGAATTCCCTGGAAAACTGATCCAAATCTTTCCCACCCCTCTTTCCTTATGATGAATCTACTCGAAGGAACTTTTGACTCACTGTGTATTTTAATTTTCCCCATATTGCAAATATACGCTTACAAGCATCTGTGCCTTCTCCAGGATTTGAAGCTTTGAAAAGAATTTTCCATAGGGGGGGGGGTGATGAGGTGATACCAACTTGCTAAATTAACAATTTAAATTACAAAATATTTAACTATTGCAATTTAATGCGTTCTATTAAGCCTAATTTCACTCACAAATTTTTATCAAATCTTTTTTTTTTTTTTTTTTTTTTTTCTTTCTTCTTCTAATTTTACAGTCCTTTCAATGTTTGAAAAATACGCTTTTTAATGGAACTAAACTTAAACTGAAAAGCTAATTACTGATTAAAAAAAGATAAACAATTCAATCATCAACTATTTTCAAATATGCAGATTTGGAACAGAAATAACAGAAATAATCACAAAAATATCTTTACACAAACCAAAATTTGATATACAAAATCTAAAAATACTCTCAATGAAATAAACTTCATTTAATTTTATATAATGTTTTTAATTGAGTAAATATCAAAATTTTTAAAAATAATTTTAGCGACAAAAAATAGGTCCTTTTACTAACTTCTTTGCATCTGTTCTAGCACTAACTGTAATTTACTGACTGATGTAGAATGCTGCTGCACTTGATCTTCAAGAGAAGAAACCTGTGCAAGAGCCTGATCACGCTGATTCATAATCATAGATAGCTGTTCTTGAAGGCTTGCTATTTGAATACTTGCCCGTTGGCTATACGAAAAAGAAAAATTAATCTTTACCAAGTCAAGAGGAAAAAAAAAGCATTTTATACAGCAACTGAAAAAATATTTGAATTTTACTCTTTCCAATTATCATTCTATTTGCTTTAAAAGTTCTTAGCTTTGGTGAATCTTGCCCATTGGATATACGAAAAAGAAAAATTAACCTTTACCAAGTCAAGGGTGGAAAAAAAAGCATATTATACAGTAACTGAAAAAAATATTTGAATTTTACTCTTTCCAATTATCATTCTATTTGCTTTAAAAGTTTTTAGCTTTGGTGAATCAAAGTAGAAAAATACAATTAACTTTTTTAAAGCTCTTGCCACTTTTTAGAAATGAATTCGTTACACTTTTACCTTTTGATCAAATTCAAATGGAAACTACATTATAAATTAAGCAATATGTCATATATGCCAAGGTGTTATATTTAGAACTCTGTAATTATATACCATTTCCCTAATTTTCATCAAATTTACGTTATTGAGATTTTTAATTTTTTTCTGATTTTACCCTATATTTCTTTCTGAACATATTTAATTATTATTCTATATTGATTGCCACTGCATAGAAACTTTAGGCTTATAGACAGCACTAAAATGCAAAATTTGTGAAAACTATATACAGGGGTTCTATATTCATACAACATATATCAAAATTACAAATGTACAGAATCCAAAAGAGCTAAAAAATTAAATATCAAGTATGTTTTAGTCTAAGAAGTTTATAATTCTCACAAATTCTAAACGAGAACTAATTTAGAACTACAGCATATAATTTAAGCACATATAAAAAAAATTATTATGTAAGAATAAATCATGAAATGCAGAAAAAAAAGTTATTTTTTAGAAGAGGAAAATAATTGTCAGGTATGTATTTTGATACAGCAATAACCTTCATTATTTGGTCCAATTTTTAGTTCAAGTTAATTATCCAACTATTTACTTTGTGTCAACAACAGCTGTACTAGATATCTCAGCTCTTCGCCTGACTTCTACTAATTCATCTTTCAGTTCTTTTTCTCTTTCTTCAGCTTTCAATACTTCATGGGTATAATTTTCTTCAATCTAAAACATAAAATACCCAATAATATTAAATCATGGAAACTAATTTCAACAAATTTAATATACTAAATGTTCTTAGATATGGCAAGATTTATTTTTCAAAATTTGATAAAACAAGTATGAGTGAATAATTTAAATTATAGCATGTGACTGAGATTTTAAAATGTTTATCTAAAGAGACATAGTAGATTCCAATTAGCTTAATTAAATCTTAAATAAAATAAACTTATAGTCACTTGCATAATTCCTTTTACAAATATTCTCAAATAAAAGGATTAAATTCTAATTGTCATATTAGACAATTCAGAAATTAAACTTATTTCACCACCTCTTAATATATAAGATTACATTTTCATCTCCTCCCTGATATGACTCATATCCTACTCTTCTCGGCTTGACATAAGAGGGGCATAATAGGTAACAAGAAGGTTTTACTATTATCAAAGCCTACCTACAAAACCATATAGGATGGAAAAGGTGGAAGATAGATTTCAGGACATGTGCTGCAGGTCAGAAACCCTTGGAAACATAACTGAAAATTCCCCATAACTTTGATTATAAATTTAGTGCAACAAAGAAGAACCTTGCATTTTGGTTCATATGAATTACTTAAGAAAAACCACATCAGATTTGAAGAACCCGATTGAATTTTAATTAAGCATAAAATTTTCCAATGAGAAACAATTAAGTATGAAATGTTTCCAAAGAAAAACAATCTGCATTATTAAAAAATTGTATCTTACAATAGTTAAAAAAAAGTTACTTCAATGATTACCCTGTCCTGCACAGCAATTTTTCTAGCAAATTTTTGTCAAAATATCAAAGCTTTTTTAAGTATGTTATTAAGTTCAGATAAGTTACTTTACTTACCTCTATAAGGTGTAACCGAAGACGCTCCAATTCATTTTTTAAATGTATCTCATTACTTTTCATTCTTTGTATCTGAGAAGGAGAATATTTATATTTCAGTGATGAACATAAAAACAAGAACTTTTGTAAATACTATAATAAACAGAGCAATTGTGATTAAATTAGACCAAAGTAAAATTATTAATGTTTAGCAAATTCAGGACTTTAGATAAAAGTTTAGATAAAATATTCAAATGTTTTTTTATCTGCGCAAGATATTCGCATTTCTTAATAAACACTCTCAAGTAAGCTTTACAACATACACTAACAAGCCAAAACATTATGACCATTTCCACATTTTTCAATGAACTCATCTGGATGATGTGGAGGGCATGTAATTAAGTAGGAATGGTATTTAACTGCTGCTGGAGAACATAAGGAATCATTCTTGCATTCACTTTAGTGACTGATGGGAAAAGCTCCTGATCTAAGAGAATTTGATAGAGGGCAGATTGTAATGGTCCAAAGAATCAGAGAGAGTATGTCTGAAATTGTACAACTGGTAGGTTGTTCAAGATTTGCCATTGTTAGTATTTATGCAAAGTGGATAAATAATGGTGAAACCAGCAGTAGACACCAATGTGTTAGACGTCCACATGCCATCAAAGGAAAAGGACATAGGAGACTGTTCCTCTTGGTACATCTAAATGATGCCTATGACACCTACGGCTGCCCAAATTGCTATCCTTGAACAGTTAATTTTTCCAAGATAATCTGTTGATTCATATTGTTCCATTATACACAATTACAGTAATTAATATAACTATTCAATTTGAATACAGCTTCATGTGACCACATTTTGATTTGAAAGTTCTGATTCTCATGTAATTTTGCTGAAATCTATCATAAAATCTCACTGTCCTGCCTGTACTTCCATCAGATTAGGACAATAAGAAATGCAGTATGTTATAATGTATAACTTCTCGTGGATTCTCTATTTTACAGAATGTAATTTTATCAAACAAATTTACTTTTTAGGGGAGGGGATTATTACTAAACAGATCCCAATTTACATGGGAAAAAAACACATTTATTAAAACATACATATCTATAAAATAACCAATAATCAAATCAGACTAATGTTTGTTTTAGCAAAGTACTTAAGCTTCTTGAAGAAGACAGGCACTGTACTTATCTCAGACAAAATGAACAAAAGTTTTCCATAAAACCATTGTCAACATAATATTGATTTCTGCCTAAATTAAAATAGCCTCATTTATTCTATGGTGATTTTTTGTCATCAAAAATAAATCCACTTCTCCCAGATTCAGGATTCAAATCAATATTACAACACAGTAGTCGAAAACTCACCAAAAGAATCAGTACTTTTGTGTGTGTGTGTATGTCTTTTACAAATGGAAAAGTACAAAATCCAAGAAAGAGATTTAGAGTCAGTTCTAAAGAATTTCAATCTTGGCAAATAAGTCAAATTTTAAAATTGGGAAGTTTTAACTTTAGAAGACATTAACAAAGCCCTCTAGCTAGACACAAATAAAGGTAATATAAATAAAATTATACTGATTTAAAATACATGAACTGTTATCAGAATAATTAAATGGTTGAAATAATTTAATACACATTTTAATAAAGCATATATTAATCATTACTTTTTTAAAAGATATATAACTATAAAAATCAGTCTGTTTCATAAGAAAATTTGAAAAAAGTCATACAAAGGTATGCTCTTAAGCACATTACTCCCTAAAAAATGAAATATAGATCAAATAGTTTGCTTTGAAGTACACTAGAATGAAAGATATTTATAGTTTTTATTATGAATTTCTATAAAAGACAGTTATTGAAGCTGTTAATAAGGAAAGCTGCTTTTAAAACTGCCAACTGGTAAAAGCCAACTGGTTTTTTTTTTTTAATTTATTGTTTGATTTTGTGGCAAAAACTCACAGAAAACAATTCCTTTATAGTAACACCATACACAACGCATTACTTTGGGGGATGCAATTCCTTCTCAATGTTACTAAAAGAGATTTTTGCTTACTCCGTGATCTTTTTCTTGTAACGTTATTGGATAGTATCCATTTCTCCTTTCCAGAAATAAAACAATTGAAAAAATGAGCTTCTTGATTTATTTTCAGCAAAGAATCACATGCTGAAATTCAAGCAAGCATATTCTTTGTTAGAGTATGAGGTACCTGAACATCATAGCAGCTTATAAACCCAGTCTTCTTCAAATGATCATCAGTCAGCTTTTTTGAATATTTTTTCTATCTTATAGATCCTGAAGTGAATAATGTGGATTTTCAGTGACAGCTCATGTACAGAAGATAGAGCTTCAGAGTGGGTGTCCTCTTCCAGGCTAAAATTTCTACCCTTAAACTTCTCAAACCACCTTCAAACTACACCATCAGAAACAGCACTTCGTCTATATACAGCATAAAGTTTAAGAGCAGTCTGAATAACTTTCCCCCATCCTTTTTTTAATAAAAGAGCATAATATGATGAAAATAAGCTTTTAGGTTCTTCATTCTTAGCACATTATATCATAACATATGTTAAAATTATATTTAAACAGCTGAAAATAGCTGAAATCATATTTAAACATCCACTTTATTCAAGGAATGAGCAGGAAAAAGTTAACTGGAAGAAAATACACTTTGATTTGAAAAAGCACAGAACTTTCTGAATGGTCCAGTATACAACTAGTTTATTCATTCTGTAAAGAATCAAGCAGCAAAAACCAAGGGAAAATAGGAAAAAGAATTTTAATGATGGCCTTTGGCGCCTTTATATTTAGCTCACCTGCAAAAGGCTTTACTTATCTTAAAAAATTTTTGACCTGAGCAAGAAGAGAATGTGTAATATATTTAGCTAAGTAATTATTATGTTTTCATTTTGCTAACATCTTAACAGTTTCATCATTGAAAAGAGACTACTATTTAGAGACCTATTTCTAAAAATGAAGGTTCAGAATCTAAGACCTCGCATTCCATCTAACTCTACAACTAAAGGTACTCTGTGGGGGGGGGATGGGGCAGGTCTATATCTCCCATTCTACTGGGCCAATTGACAAAATTCAAATTGCGTTTTTCATGTATCGAAAGTGTGACTGAGAATATATATTAGATTTATATATAGCATTGCTCTAATATAGGTATTTTGACACAAAATCAGACTTTTTTTGAAATGACATGCCAATTTCTTTACATATTTCAATTCTACGACTTAAATTACGCCAAACTGCCAAGTTTTGTAAAAATTACACAAGTAGTTTTTAAAAAATTAGCTCGCAAAATTTTAGCTCCAATCTTGAGTTTGGTATATATTTATCAATATCTCTTTTGATTAATATTTGATTCTTTTCACATTTCGAAATTTAGGTTCTTCAAATAACTTCACCTATTTTTATGATTTAGTTAAAAATTTGTATTTCTTAATCATTTTTAAAATTTTTTTAAAAAATTTGATTATAATCTATAATTTTACACATCTAAGGTAGTGCATTCTAAGCACACTGCAAAAAATTAGCTTTTTTCATTCAAAATGTCTGAGATATACATGAATTATAGACGCACATTTGAAATTTGGTTATATTTGTTGAAAGCGATGTACTCAATTGTTTACAACTTTATTAAAATTATTCAAAAATAAACACTGCGACTTTTTTCTGCTATGCACATGTTAAAAGTAGAAGATTATTTTCGCTCCTGAAATGAAGGGGAAGGGAAAATAGTTGCATAGTATTAAAGTTTTCCAGTGAATTATTTGGCCCAGATGAAAAATTCGCCAGAGCATTTTTGAATGTATTTTAATTCACACCAAATTTTACAAAATTTAATATTTAGGGCATATTTAAGTTGAGGAATCGAAATATGGGAAACCTTAGCATTCATTTCAGAAAAGTCCAATTTTGTGCAATACCACTTAGGAGCTAAATATAAAATCTAAACATATCAAAGTCTCGCTTTGAGACATGAAAAACCAATTTGATTGCATCATCAGCCAGTAGAACAGGGAGAATAGACTGTCCCCGTCCCCCCCCTTTTTTTTTTCCTGCGCAGTGTATATTTCTATGATAACACTCTCAAGGGCTCATACTCATAGGAACCTCATACAGGTTTCTTAGATTGCATGAACTAATTCTTTCTTATTTCTAAATTGTCAAAATGAAATAACAGAAATGCAATCAAACTGACATAAATAAAGACTGCTAAATGTATCTGTTCCCTTGAAGTAAAGGCCAGAGTACAAAATCTCTAACCCTTCAAAAACCACAATTGTTTTTGCCATGAAGATATACCTGCTAATGTCGCAAAGTAAGCGAATAATGACATCGTCAAAAGATGCTAAAATGTTATAAAATAAAAAAACAATAGAATTTAAAGCTCTCTTTTATGAGAATGAACCACAATGATCATGAAAGAAATGACAATGAAAAATTGCCAGACAAAAGTGATAAACGATAGTTAAATGATTGAAAACTGTCACAATTATACTCTTAAGAGAATAAATAAGCACTCTAAAGACACATAAAAATGAAAATATATCAAGTAAAAATTTGAAATTCAGCAACAAGAACTTTCTCAAACATGTTTCAAACATACATGCATATCTGTTTAAAAATACAAATTCGTAAACAATTACATAATACGCTAAGGATAATCATATGGCCAGCTTGTGCCAGCTAGGAGTAGGAGAATCAAGGCTGTGCCCTTAGAATAATAATAATAATAATAACCTAAAGATATTTTTTTTAGTTTATTGAAATAATAAAAAAATAACAATTAACAAACAAACAAAAAAACTATACCTCATTTCGTAAAGACTGATTCTCTTGCCTGCTCTGATTCAAAGCCAAAAGGGTTTCATCCCTTTCTCTATATAAATTTTGAGCTTTACTAAACATAGATTCACTGTCTGCTAAAATTTGGTTGATATCTGTACTTTTTGAAACAGAATTATCACTATTAATATATTGAGACAATGAAGAAATTTTTTCAGTCATTGACTGCATAGAAAACTCTTTTTCTTTCAATGCCATATTCAATCTTTCATTCATTTCTTTGAGCAAAGATAATTCTGAATTTTTATCTTGAAATCTCTGTTCAATTAATTCTTTTTCACTCTTTAATTTTTCAATAACAGCTTCATATTCTTTGAGCTTATCAGTTAATTCAGACACTTTCTTCTGAAGGTTCTTCAGTAAATTATCTTGCTGTTCACTTTCTAATCTAACCATTTTAATTTGCTGAGAAAGACTGTGAATCATACAATCCTTTTCTTGTATTAAAACAACTTTTTCATCATTGGAACATGTCAGTTGTTCAATTTGCTTATTTTTTTCATCTAGTTCATCTTTTGTAAGCTGAACAATATTATCAGAATTAATTTTATTTACCAGCTCACTATATTTTTCTTTAATACCAACTTGCTGTTCTTCTAAATCAGTAACCCTCTGTTTCAGAGCAATCATTTCATTCTGTGTATTAATTAATGATTTCTGCTTTTCTTCATATTGTTGGGCAACAGAGAAGTGCTTTTGCTGCAAAACATCATATTTCTGTCTTTCATCAGAAAGAAATGAATTTAATTTTTTTATTTCTGCAGCATACTGGCGACATTCTTTATCCTTAGCATTATAACTTAGCATTATTCTTTCTCGTTCAGCTTTGTACACATTTATTTGTTTGGAAAGATTTTCTTTTTCTTCCAGTAGTGACTGTAAATGTTCAGGAATGGCTGAAGCATCTTGGATAAATGATGTAAGTGTAGAATTTTTCTGTTTCAAAGATTCGATCTCAAAATCTTTATCTCTTATTAACCTACTTAATTTCTGAACTGTTTCTTTTGTTAACTCTGGGTCTGACTTCTCTTTGTTACACTCTTTCAGTTCACAATTATCTTGCTGTAACTTCAACAATGCTTGTTTCTCTGATGCTACAATATTGGTAAGTTTATGAACTTCAGATTTTAAGCTGCTACATTCTTGTGATTTTTCATTTAGAACACATAAAAGTTTATTTTTCTCCAACTCTAACATTTTTAACTTGTCTTGAAGCAAACGTGTTTCATTTGAAGAACATGATAAATTTTCATTACATTCAGTGTTTATTAAATTTCTACACTTTGTGCAATATTGTATTATTTTTTGATCAACCACATCAATATTCTTTACATAATTTCCTTTTAAAAAATTTAAATCAGCTGTTAAAGTGCTACCATATTTTTGCAAAGATTTTACTTCTGCTTGCAAGTTTTCAATGATACTTTCTTTTTCTGCAATTAAAGATTCTTTTTCTTGTAAATTTTCTTTTATTGAATTTAAATTGAATGCATATTCCTTCTGAAGACTTTTACACATTTCTTCTTTTTCTGCTATTAATGATTCTTTTTCTTGTAACTGCTTTGCTAATGCACTTAAGTTAACTGAATGTTCCTTTTGAAGACTATTACACATTTCTTCTTTTTCCTTACATAAATTCCTTGCAGCCTCAAGTTCTAATTCTAAAATCTTATCATGAGAAATACAGTCTTCATCTGTTTGAGTTAACACAGACAGTAATTTTTTCTGGCATAGTGACTTATAATAAAGAATTTCATTCTCAAGTTTCATTTTCTCTTGCTCTAAGACATTAATATCAGAGCGAAGTTTACTTATTAACTGATTAGTATCTTGGTCACATGTTTCACATTCCTGAGTCTGTGAATGTTTCGATTCTTTAGAAATTAAAATATCTGTGATATATGTTTGTGTTCTTTGATCTGAATAATTGCATATACTATAATCTGTCTGAATAGAAAAATTGTTTTTAGAAGAATTAATACTACACGTATCACACTGTACAGAAGAATCAGTAAACAGAATATTAATTTCATTTTGAGTACTACTATCTTTATAAGACACTTGATTTTCAGAAACAGACTTTTCTGCACAAAATTTAGGAATTTCAGACCCTATATGCAATTTTTGGCAATCATTTTTATGAAATAAAATAAAGTCAATCACAGAGCTAAGTTCACTGATTATGAGAGTTAGTGTTTCATCAGACATAGATAACATTTCTAAAAAAAGTATATATTTATTAATTTTATTTATAAAATCCTTACTTTCTATGCTTTGTTGAACCTCTAAAGTTTGTTTTTGACACCCAAGCCATTTTAAGATGTCATTTAGTCTGTCTTTATTTGAACTACATCGAAGATCATGGAAGAGAGATAGCAAGTTTAAATGTTTTTCAATACTCGCAATATCACTTGAGTTTGATTCAAAAAAGATATGATCTGTCTGTACACTTGGTAAATTTTTATTTAAAAAACAATCTTGACTAGAATGATCAGTCTTTTCCAAGAAACATTTAACTTTTTCTTTGAGTTCACTATTTTCTTTAACAACTTCATTTTTTAAATGCAGAAGTTCATCAATTGCTTCCTACAAGAAGAAAGTTTCAATAGGTTTAGACATTTTTTATAAAAATATTTTATTATAATACAGGATAAGAAAAACCAATATTTAAAATCCAAAACATGAAAGAAATATCAATTACATCATAAACATAATGTATATTTCTTTTTAATAACATGTAAAATTAACAGTTATCTGACAGCTGTCAGTAAGATTAATACACAAACAAAACACTGTTTTAGCAATGGCTTAAAATACAATCAATTTAAAATGTCGATACTTAAAAGTCAATATCAATTATCGATTTATAAAAGTACCCTCTACATAGCTATTTTGTTTCTCACCTAAATACTCTGCAATAACTCAGATGCATCATTTAATATCACATAATTTATATTATCCATGCATTTAAACATACTATTATTATTTTTGTTATCTCAAATTAAGAGAATTCAAAGCATCAAGGCGATTTTAGTCACAGTCCGCATAATGATTATTTCAACAGCTGTGGTGAAAACTAATTCAGCAGCCTACCTCAGTTTTCGGCAAACCGTGGCTTTTTGACTCCTTGAATACTCCTTCCACAAAATAGCACATGCGGGTGTATGCACGTTAAAGCAAGAAAATCTTGAAAATATGACACAAGGCCATCAAATTTTACACAAGCATGAAAACAGCTGAAAATATATTCGCCAATGCTATTTCTAAATTTTTTTTTTTTTTTTTTTTTTAAGCAGTTTTGGGGTTTTGATTGTACAGATTATTATAACACATCAAATTGTGCTTTCATAGTAACTGTCATATGCCAAATTTTAACTAACGAAATGCTTTGAATTAATATACTATTCAATGGCAATTTTAACTTGAATGAAAAAAACAAATAATGTAAAAATAAAATTTAGTTTCAAAATATCGGGAATTTCAGCTTCTAGACCTTTCAAATTTGAAGTTTCTCTTAGTATCTGAAACAAAAATTTTCCTAGCAACTGAATTTAGGCAATATAAAATACATACACGACGTTTGGGTTGCACATAATATGAAAAAAATTCAAATTGGAAATGCCTAAAACCTGAAAACCCAGATATTTTGGCATAAAATTTAGTATCTGAAACAAAAGTTTTCCTAGCAACTGAATTTAAGCAATATAAAATACATACACGATGTTTGGGTTGCACATAATATGAAAAAAATTCAAATTAGAAATGCCTAAAACCTAAAAACCCAGATGTTTTGGCATAAAATTTAATTTTTATTTAGTTGATATATCTAGTTAAAATTAACGATTACTTTTGTTAGTGTTTAAATTTTTTATTTAAAAATAAAACTTAAATGAAAATTACTCAGTTATGAAATCAAGTTTAAAAATAATATAAAATTTTTAAACAGAATTTAGCAAAATTCTGCATATTGTTGCGTTTTCCTTTTCTGATACCAGTTGTTATATTATTTTCTTCCTTCATGTTCTTATGGGGTTCATGAAGATTTGGTTTGGTTTTGTTAGATTACAACAAAGCACTTGGGCTATCTGCCTAAAGGGAGGATGCCTTTGTGGAGGACTTTCTACGGAAACTGCCTCGTAACACATTCCACATGGGAAACCACGAAATTTTGCCCATGAGCCACCCGTTCGGGGATTCACACCTCAACCGACTCCATTATTCACAACGCTCGGCTCGCTGCTGGTGGGCCTCGTAGGATTGGAGTGAATATGACATATACTTAATAAAGTATCGAACACCTTTATTGGCCATTATGTCATAGCACTCCAAACCGTTTTTACAGTCATTGATGACTAGTATAAAAACTCTGACACGTCACACACGCTCCGTTATCAGCTATCACGGTGGAGATAGTTCAGGAAAGCACTAGAATACACTCCCGACTCTGGTGGCGTCCTGTACTTCCACGTACTCTCGAGACTTCTCCACGCCACAACGCGTGATCACCGACGCACACAGCAACTTCTGATTCTTATGTTCAGTCGTTCCCCGGAGCTCACACGCTCTCTTGATGATCACTAACACATACACGACAACTCTTTGTGCACCACGGCCCACTCGGCCTGGCGGCCTGCTGTCAACTCGATCGACTACGCAGGATTGATTACTAGACGCAACACCAACTCGATACTAACTAATTAACTCGCACTCTCGCCAAGGCACACACTAACTGATTGCGTGCCAGCAGGGTTTATATAGCTTTCGGCTTGTGTTCGAGAACATTCTGGGTTAAACCGGTAAGAATTTGTTCCAGAAGGTTCTCCATCCCTCCATGGCATATTGCCAATTTTGTCACAAAATGGGCGATTTTTGGTCAAAGGTGTACCTTTCTTGCTGTTTTATGGCAATCCTAAAACTGCATTGCGGGGAAGCTATCTTACTGCACCTGTAGATTTCGTAACAATATTTTTTAGAATTATATATGCAAATAGTCTTTCATTCGCAGAGGCAATAGAAACAAAGACAAGAACTTACAATCAAAAACTTATATTGGAAGTTTTAAGAGGTACTGAAGTATGGGCTCCATGTTTTGCAGTTCAATAAGACCAAGTGTCTTCAGCAGCATTAACTAAAATTGTTACAGAATTATACATCCTGTATAATCTAAAATTATTGTAACATAATATTTTTTTTTTTTTTTTTTTATTTGCAAGTTGTTGAATTTATTTTGGATTTGAACAAATGGCCATTCTTTTCATGAAGGAATTTCATAATGCAAGGACTGCCATTCCTGTTTCCAATTAGATTTCATGCTTATATTTATGGTTAATGTCAAGTGGTGCTCCAATTAGTTCAGATAAGCAAAATTCTACTGTATAAAGATATTCCCACTTTGCAGCATCATTCTTCATGTCAAAATGTAAATATCCGCATTAGGTTCTTCATTCAGTTCAATAATTTCGTAAATTTATTAAGGGCAATTTAATGCGATCTATAATTAGGCAACAGCTTCAAGTAAATACCTTTCTAAGTTTTTCTTTGAAGAAATAGTACAAATGTCTGATATATTGAAATATTATGATTAAACTCATAGACAAATTTACATGCTCCCTTTCACTGGAAAATAAAACTATTTGAACTATTTGAAATATAGCCCATGATTGCCTAGTAAAGTGGCACATTTCTGCTTAAGAAAAAAAATTATCTATTTAGTCAATTTAAAATTATTGAATCAGTCTTATAATACAAACAATACTTTTATTAAATAAAATACAAATTTTAAAATACTGCAATACAAATCTTAAACAAAAATTTAAGAACACACTAACCGTATATAATATACATGTACCTGATGTTGCCGATCAAGCTCTTCCATACTTTGCTCAAGTGACACTTTTTCATTCAAAAGGAATTCTATCTTTTCATCTTTTTCTTTACAAAGAAGAATAAGTTCTTTTTGAGATAAAATGCCATTCTGATTGCTCAGATCTTAAAAACAAAAAATTAAAGACATCAAAATATAGTACTTTAAATAAATTATAACACCAACATTTAATTTGGATTTTGACTTCAATTACAGAAGGAACTTAACACTATTAAGCAATTATTATTTGGCAGTTTCACAGAGACCGATTAAAAAATTTAGCCCTTAAATTTTAGATACATTCTGATGTACTCTGTAGATGTATATACCCTCAGTTAAAATTCATTATTTAGTTTTAGCTGTCTAATTTTAACACATTAGCCAAGATTTGTATCCAAATACGCACATATATAAGCCTAACAGGCAGGGCTGTGGAGTCGGGCAGATTTTGGGGTAAAAGGAGTCG